AAAGAAAAGAACGCAAAAGGAGTGGAGAGGTTACGTAAAGTAAAGAGACGCACAGAAGGGAATCGTAGAAGATAAGAGTCGTGAAGAAAGAGGAAACGTATGCATAAAGAACACACGTGGCGAAACGATGCATGAGAAAATTAGACGTTAAGGGTGCAAGAAGAGAAAGCATAAGGGATGTATGTGCGAAAAAATGAATTGAAAATAAACCAGGCGCGAAGACACTGTAGAAAGTGTCGTGGAGGAAGAAAACGTTACGAAAAAAGAGACTCGCAAAAGTTGCGTGTTAGGAAGGGTGAAAGTCTTCGCAAAAGGGGCGTGAAGAAATTAGGGATGCAAAAAGGGAACGTACACAAAGAAAGCGTATAGGGAAAGAGTTATCAAAGAAGCGTACAGAAAAGGTACAGGAAAAACAGTTTAAAGCAAAGATGGCGGAGCAGGAAAGATACGCTAAGAAAATGGGGTGTGAAGGAAAAAGGAAAATAGGCCCGAAGGGAGAAAGCATAAGGAACTGATTTATAAAAAAAAGGTATGAAAGTATGCAGCATAAAGAAGAGAGGCGTAAAGAAAATGGGGAACGAAAGGAGGACTACGTGAAGAAGGCATCAAGAACATGCCAGTAGAGGAAGTACGCGTGAAGAAAGAAATAATGCGGGAAAAAAGGATACGCGAAGAAATAAAATGTGAAAAAAGTAGGTCCGACGAGAAGAAGCGTGAAGAACAACAGGTCAGCGAGGGAGGAAGTGAGAAAATACGGAGAAAGTGGGAGTGAGGGATGAAAAAAACCTCTGGGAAAGAATACGGGAAGAAAGGATACGCGAGGGGGAGGGGTATGAGCTTCATTGTTGCAAGGGAGGAAGATATGAAGAAAACAAAGTCGGGAAAAAAGGCGTGATGAAAGAAAGAGTGGATAAAGGAAGCACATGACCGGCACGTGCATGGCCAACTTTCTTATTCGTAGCGCAATTTTTCTGAAATAAAAGGTAATGAAACGCACTTGGGAGCTTACGCCGAACTCGTAATTTTGTGCTGGAGAATGCTTCATTAAACAATAATCCAAGGACGGTCCTTCTGGGCGACCTTCCAGTTCGCAATTCAAATTCATTCAGTTTGTCTAACGAAGTCGGATCGGAAAATCGAATCTTGTGTATGTATAGAATTGAAGTATCAATGATTGAAAGGAATTCGAATTTATATTTTGTATATTCCATCTATATACATGCAGGTGGTAGGTACGAAACATCTGTTGAAAGGGAGCCAATTTGCTATTGAATTCAATTTGTATGTCTGATTTTACGAGTTCATGTTTTACACTTTACGCAAGAATAGCGAATTCAAATATCAACTGCGAAATTTCCCTTTGAAACACGACTGCCTCGTGCCGGCGCTTTCTTTTTTTTCTCTCATTTCCTATTGCAGGCGTTCTTTGCAATGAGGGCGGAGAGTTTAATTAATAATCTCAAAGATGATCAAAAGTGACGTCCGCCGAAAAAATTTAAGGCGATGTGGTTCTTAGCGAAAGAAAGATCAAACGTGGCATCTCGATTTCAATATCTCATCTGCTACGTTACCATAGCTACCTCGTTTCATCTAAAACTGTTGCAGAAAATCGTATACAGAAAAAGTGTATACTTTTGAATAAGATCAAAAAGACCTTTACAACTCTCTTGTTCGTGACAGCAGTTTAAAGCAAAAGAAACAAAATCAGAACAATACAGGCTATTCTTTTTAGATACTGAGTCGATTTTAGAATAATGCGCTTTAGCCACTCGCGCGAGTGGTACACCTGTATATCGATAAAATCTCAGGTTCAAGGATGACAGATTCTTACATGCAAAGAGAAGAGAAGACAGACACAATTCGTAGGTACATACGATGGTGATGTAAAGGTGGAGGGGGGGGGGGGATACACGTGGAGAGACCGCTGGAAGGAAGGAATGATTCGAAAGGGAAACACGTGCAAATAAGGCTTGACGGACGCGAAAAGGAAGAAGAAGAAGAAGAAGGCAACATTAGGGAAAATAATGAAACAGAAGAAGAAAATAAAACTGACTGAGAGAAACGTGAAGAGTATTTGGAAAAAATTTATCATAAAAGATGGAAGCAAGTGTAAGGATTGGAGGAGTCGTGATAGAGGAACCTGTTAGGGAAAGAGAATGTCGGAATGGGAACGAAAATAGGGTGGGGCGGCTTCAGAAATGGGTTATGCGATGAAAAATAAGAAAAAAGGGCGTGTGCCAGGAAGGTGTAAAAAAGAAGGAAGGAAAAATAGAGTAGTGATAAAGAAAGCGTCGCGGAAGGAAGTAGCGTGGACAGAGGGTGTGGTAAGAGAGTGGGCATGAAGAAAGAAGGAAAAGCGCGATGAGAGTCCGGAAAAGAAGGGTGGGAGACGTGAAGAAGATACGAAAATAAGAAATGTGTTGGAAGAAAACGTAGAAGGAGTTGGAAAAATTGGGCCTTAAAAAAGGGGGTGTAAAATAAAACGTAAAAAATGAAAGAGGGGACATTACATTTGCAACACGGTGTGGGAAGGGGGAGAGGTAACCACAAAAAACCGGAAAATGTCTTACAGACGTAAGCGAGAAAATGAGTGTAAATAAGAAAACGCATGAAGATGCGTAAGAAAGAGAGAATGCAATTAGACAAGGCCCGAAATGGAACCGCGAAGGAAAAGGACGTAAAGAAGAAGAGCGTAAATAAAAGGAAAAAAGGAGCAGTAGAAGGCGCAAATATAAGCAGTGAAAGAAAGAGGTGTATGAAAGGGAGGGCGGGGGGGTGAAGGAGGTGTTAGGTAAGAGGCAAATGCACGACAAAAAATGTGATAAAGCTGCGCCAATGACAGACGCATAAAAAGGGAGAAAGGGAAAACAGAGCGAAAGAAAGAATCAGGGGGGGGGGGCAAAAAAGGATAAGTGAAAAGGAGGAATGTGGAAAAGGAGACGTCAAATTCGTAAAAGAGTGTGAAGGTATGTGCTAGCGAAAAAAAGCACTTTAAAGGAAGGTAGTGAGAAAAGAAGAACGTAAGGTAAAGCAAGCGGAGTGAAAAATAATGAGCAACGAAAGAGGCCTAAAAGAAAAGGTGACCTACAGAAGAAAACTAGAAGACTATGGGGTAAAGTTGAACGGTAGCGTGAAAGAAGGAATAGTAAATCGGCCACAGAGAATAAAGACGTGAAAAAAGGATATACGAAGAAAGCATGAGAAAGTGTGAAGAACGGAAATTGAAAAGAAGAAACATCAAGAAAAAGGACACGAATAAAAAAGAACACGAACAGGAGCTGTGGACGCCCAGTAATACTTCCTAGCGCTAACTCTACTAGCACTTTCATGGCAGTCTTCGGAAAATATAATAGAATCGTCCTACATTTGAGGGGTATTTACTGAGGGGTATTCCATACCCCTCAAATCCTCGGTACTACACCCTGAGTGGTGACAGGCTATAACGGGGGGGGGGGGTCTGGAATGCATAGGAACCCTCCCCCCCTCTCGGTAATACACTCCAGTAAAAGAACGCATGATAGCTCTACTCGGAGGACTTTCATGGCACCCTACGGAAGACGCAATAAAATCTTCCTACATTGAGGGGTATTAACTGAGGATATTCCCTACCCCCAGACCCCCCAGTACTACGCCTGCAAACAAAAACGTTCATATTTCTAGACTGGTAACAGTGTTTAAAAAAATTTGATAACGGGGGAGACTGGGAGGTATGTAATACCCCCCGCCCCCACCCCACCCCACCCCCGTAATTCACTCCAGCAAAAGAACGTGCGATAACTGCTAGCTTTCATGGTAGTCTTCGGTTGATGTAACCGAATAATCCTACATTAGTATTTGCTGGGGGGGGGGGGGTATTCCATATCCCAGACCCTCAGAGACTACGCCCTCAAATAATAGCGTGTAGTTTTCAAAAATGAGAATAGTTTTTAGAAAAGGGCAGTCTAATCTTCTTCTCCTGAGGAGCATTCCGTACTTTATAGGATAGTGCTGAAAAAGTTCGACAGTCGGAGAAGAATGTTGTACCGGAGGGCCTGGGGGTAGGGAATTGTATCCCCCCCCCGTAATACTTTCTAGCAAAGAACTCGCGATATCTAGCACTTTCAAGGTGGTCTTCGGAAGGTGTAATCGAATCGTGCTACATTGAAGGAAGCCACAAAAGGAGTGACGAAGAAAGAAAGAAAGGGTGGTGGAAGATCGCGTGAAACGAGAATCAAAACAAAAGTTGTGTAAAAAGGAAACGCGAAAGAGTGGTAAGTGGCGTTAGAAATGAACCACGAAAAGGCATGAAGATCAAAAACTTAAGAAAGAGAGGTATCAAAGGCTAAAGACACGGAAAGAGGCGCAAGGGAAGGAAGAATGAAAACTACGCGTAGAATAAGAGTATAGAAAGTAGAGGCATAAAAATGCAGTGGCGGAATAGAGGGAGACGTAAAAGAAAGGGGATGAAACCGCAAAACAAAGTGAGACGAAGGAAGAAGGCGTGAAGAAAAGGCGAGGGCGTGTAGGTTCCAGGAACCGTACAAAACGTAGAGGTGTAACGGTCAGAGTCAGACTGAAGAAAGGAGGCATGGAAACAGGAGATGTGCATAAGAAAAGTGAACAAATAAGACTAGGATCTAAGAAGAAGCGCGCAATTAAAGTCCAAGTGAAGAAAACGTAAAAGAGGTAAACCTTAAAGAAGTAGACGTCGGGAAAAATGGTAGTTAAAGAAGGCACACGAAACAATGGAATAGGGGTGATAGTATGGAGGCAGACCTGAAGAAAGAAGGCGAGAATTGCAGGTTATTTAAGAAGATACGTTGAAAGCAAATGGGGGAGAAGGGTGAAACAAAAGATGCGAGTGAAGAAAGCAGGCGAGAAGACAAGTGGTGAAAGAAGATATGAAGAAAAATAGTTTGAAGGTGGAAGGAAGAAGCAAAGGAGAAGTAAAGAAAAGTGAGGGAAAGGGGTGGGACGGAAAAGAAACAAAAAAATTCCACAAGTGCGAGAGACAAGCAACGGAATGACGCACTTTCAACGTAAAGTGAAAGGCATCGTTTTCCTTAGAACAGTTTTGCACAAAAATGTAAATCCTCATTCGTTATACGGTGGGTTTTTCCTTGTACTGATAAGTGGATTTGTATGTCGATTGTTTCAGTTCACTGGCAGAGTTCGACCGTAATGTTTTTAAAAGTGCTGTGCGTGTTAAACGCGTTTGCTTTGGTGCAGTGTTGCAATTCGTTCGGATCAATTAACGTGCAAGTCCAGGATAAGGCTCAACGTGTTTTTAACAGGACGATTAAGGGATGCATCTCGAAAAAGTCTTTTACCGACGACGCCTTTGTCTCGCACACCTGGATAAGAGAACAACCTGTGCTGCGTCTCAAAACCGGAGCTGTCGAAAATACTCCAGACTTGGAGTTTGTCAAATTTTCGCATTGCAAAATTGCATCAATTACACCTAACGCATTTCGAGACGTGCCCAACTTGCAAGGTGTTCACATCGAGCATGGGTCGCTTACTCTAATAAAAAGGAACGTCTTCAAAGGGTCGCAGATACCGCGACTTCTGGAACTGTCACTGGCCCACAATGAAATATCGAACATTGAAGTGAAGGCCTTCGCTTACAGCACATTTAGAAAACTATCCCTCTCCAACAACAAGTTGGCGAAGTGGTACCCCGGCTGGTTCACAGACGCCTCAGCCACCCCTATCGACGCCGACGCATTCAACCAGCTCTCCAGCAAACCCCTGTCGGAGAATTACACCATCAGCCCGCTCGAGGAAATCGACTTCAGCAACAACCTACTCACCGAACTACCCTTGGACACCCTAATCGCGCTCCCCAATCTGAAAGTCTTCAACCTGGACGCCAATCGAATCCTCAGCATCGAGCCGGGAACCTTCCACCGAACCAAACTGGACACGCTCAGGCTGGCCCGCAATCGGCTCGCCTACGTCGACCCGAAATGGTTCCCGAAACCCTTCCGCCTGTCGCACCTAACGCTCAACGCGAACAAGCTGAACTTCATCCCAGAGGAATTCTTCCAGAGAGTGCACCCGAGTCTGCTCGCCCTCGACGGTAACCCCATGACGTGCGCCTGTCAAACGAAAACCATGCGAGCGCTCTACAGCAAGAATTACGAAATCGAAACGACGGAAAACTGCAGCTGGCCTAACGTGCCCATCTGCATTGGTCTCGAGGATGGCGTCTGCGCGGAGGAGGTCGACGAGGGTGTCACTCGGCAGTACCACGAGGCGATTATTTCGGCACTTAGAAACGTTAGCGCTAGTATTAGGGACCAATGTTATAGTTTAGACTAATAAATTAATTAATTTGATTAAAGTTCCTTGGGGTCATTTACGTAATTCGGTTAACTGATGACATCATTCCACTGATATAACGCGATATCGCATTCGATTGACGGTTTGTGTAATTTGGGAAATTTAGACGCCGCAATTTAATTTAATTGAAATTCAATCGCTCTGTCATCTTCTTGATGAAAGAATAACACCAGTACAATATCGAATAAATTGTCTGTCCCTCTGCCTGTACGTCCATTGATATTAATAAATGTTGGGGTTGGGTTAGTACAGCAGCCTTGGCTAAAACTCAGTCCAAAAATAAAATAAAATAAAATAAAATAAAATAAAATAAAATAAAATAAAATAAAATAAAATAAAATAAAATAAAATAAAATAAAATAAAATAAAATAAAATAAAATAAAATAAAATAAAATAAAATAAAATAAAATAAAATAAAATAAAATAAAATAAAATAAAATAAAATAAAATAAAATGACCAACTGCCCGCAAGTGAGGGAACGCATTGACTTCGAACAAAAACCTAAATGTTAACACAATACCAGTCTGCCTTTTTACTCGCAAGAGATTTTAAATACTAGACGCATAGGCTCGGAACAGTAGCTAAACGCTAAAGCAATACGTACAGCGGAAGAAGTCTGTCTATCCGTCTGTTAGCCTCAGTTTCACGCTCAAATTGAGCCACATGCGTATTGAATTGGAACAATTCCTAAACGCTAACGCAATACAAATATCTGCCCGTCTGCCAGTTTACCCTGAAGTTTGAATTTCTCCCCAACGCATTGAATTCTGACATTAGCTACACGTTAGCGCAAAGTGAATTGTTGTGAAAATTTTTAAAAAAGCCTTTTCGTCGTCCGCGAGTCGTTTTCTTGATTTATGCCGAACTCGCCTGAATATACGCGATCACGTTAAGAGGTCGCGGAGGAGGGCTATGGTTGGTAGAAATTAATTCCTTTCGTTGAGACCTTTCATTGGAGTACCGTGAAGGATAAAACTAGTTTCACTCCCCCCCCCCTTCCCCTCCACTCCGTACTTTGATAAGAGGACAGAAAGAAGGGCAGTAGTTGGTAGAAAACGGTTCCTTTCGTTGAGACCTTTAATTATAGAATACAATGAGTGATAAAATTCATTTTTACCGCCTCCCTCAGGCCCCGTCGCTCACTGATTTCGAAAAAGTCGCACAGAAAACTTACAGTTTGTAGAAACCAATTTATTTCGATGAGACCTTTCATTAGAATACCATGAAGGGTAGAACATGTGTTTACCGTCCCCCCTCCCCCCTCCCCATTTCCTAACGTTTTACTTATCACCACTAAAATCACCTTCCGGGTATAGGCTACCTACTGCAACAAATGCCAGGACTGTAGGACCATTTCCCTAGAAGTGGTTCGAAATGGCAGAAGTGAGTCCGGACGGACGGACGAACAAAACGCAAACGATAGCGCATTTTTTTTTAATTCTTAAATAATGCGCTAAAAAATTGAGACCTAAAGGAGAGGGTGTAGAAGAAATGCATAAAAGGGAGACACTAGACAAGGAACGAAAAAAAGTGTGGGAAGAATGGAGCCGTGAAAAAAAAGGAAGCGTAAACAAGGAGATTCCAAGAAAAGTGTGCGAAAAAAAGGAGAGGAAAGATAGGAGGCGTTAGGTAAGGAGCAAGTGTTTAGAATAAACGAGAGGATAATATGTGAAGAAGATCCGCCAATGAAAAAGGAGCAAAAGGTATGAAAGGAAGGGGTGGTATCAAGGAAAATTATACTCGAAGAAATAGTCAAAGAAGCGAAGTGAAGAAAGAAGGAGTAGAAAGGGATGATCAAAGAAACAGTAATAAGTCAAAGAAGGCAGGTGACCAGAGGGAAGCGCGCAAGAAGAGGGTGTAATGAATAGAGGAATGAGAAAAAAGTCCAATGCAAAAAGTAGCAGACATAAATGAAAGAAGAATAATGAAAATGGCGTTGGAAGAAAAATGAATAAATAAGGACATAAGGGAACGCCGGACACCGGAAACAAAGAAACAAAAAAAGGTGTGAACAACGAACGCAGGTAAGAAAGAAACGCGTGATGAAGAAGCGTGAAGAATGACGCAGGTGTGATGAAAATAGAATCGAGAGAAGAAAAATGGCGTAAAGAAGCGAGATGTAAAGAAAGGTGACCTAGATAGAAGAGGTGTAAATAAAGATGTAAGTAAAGGAAGGGTGTAAAAGAGAGAAGCATTAACATGCGAAGCACGAACCTGTAGAAACGGAAGCGAAAAAGAATGAAAGAGAAACGTAAAAGGAACAAAGGGCGCGAAGGGAAAGCGTAAACGTATCATTACCTACATTTGAACGTGGATGAAGCACGGATCAAAAAGTACCCAGGTGTAAAGCAAAGTGACGGAAAGAAAGAAAGTGAGAAGAAGATAAGGGAGGAAGAGGCAAGAAGGTAGGAGAACAGTAAGAACGCATGAAAGAGGGATGTATAAACGATGAAAATATTAAAAAAGGAAGGCGTAAAATAAGGAAAACGGAAAAAGAAGTGAGAGAATCACGTATAAAAGAAAGTGACGTTAAGATAGGAGATAATAATGTGGCATGAAAGTTGTGAATAACAAAAACTAAGAAAAAAACAAAATTTATGTGTGGAAACGTGAAAGGATCGGGCGAGAAGAGGAGAAGAGTAAAAGAAAGAAATACGAAAAATACGCTAAGAAAAAGGGTATCAAAAATGGAGAGCAAGCAGCGCAAAGCAGATATAAAATAAAGGACATGAAACAGCAAACAAAGAGAAATGAAGAAAGGAGCCGCGAAGAAAGATGGAAACCGGAAGCAGGAAGCGTAAAGAACCGAGAACAAGAAAACAAGCGAAACAAGGGCGCGGTATTAGTCTAAAAGATAAAAACGTAGGTAATAAAAAAGGAAGTATGTGTAAACAAGCGAAACAAAAGCAGAGGGAAGGAACATGAAAGAACAACCGTAAAAGAGAAACAAGTAAGCCAATAAGGGGAAGAAAAAGCGTAAAGGGGACAGGCCTTAAGAGAGAAGTTAACAATAGGTCATTTATGTGAAGGAGTGAGCGAAAAGGAAGAACAAAAGAAAGTGTAAAAAAAACAAGTGCAAGGTTGTCTTCCGCGAGGGAAAAGCAAGGGCATGGCATACCCTCAACGGATAGTGAAAGGCTGCATAGTTCTTGTTAGACATATTTTGTACAAAAACGTAAAGTAGGGGTTTTTCCTACTGCTGGTAACCGGATAGGTATGTCGATTCCTTCAGTATCTTAGCAGAGTTCGGCCGCAATGTTTTTAAAAGTGCTGTGCGTGTTAAACGCGTTTGCTTGGGTGCAGTGTTGCAGTTCGTTCGGATCCCTTAACGTGAGGGTCCTGAATAAGGCTCAACGTGCTTTTGACAGGACCATTAAGGGATGCATCTCCAAAAAGTCTTTTACTGACGACGATTTCGTCTCACACGTGTGGATAATAGCAAAACCAATACAACGTCTCCGAATCGGGACCGTCGAAAACACCCCAGACTTGGAGTTTGTCAAATTTTCGTATTGCAACATTGAATCAATCACACCTAACGCATTTCGAGACGTGCCCAACTTGCAAGTTATTCACATCGAGCATGGGTCGCTTACTCAAATAAAAAGGAACGTCTTCAAGGGGTCGCAGATCCCGCGACTTCTCGAACTGTCACTGGCCCACAATGAAATCTCGAACATTGAAGTGAAGGCCTTTGCTTACAGCACATTTAGAAAATTATCCCTCTCCAACAACAAGTTGGCGAGGTGGTACCCCGGCTGGTTCACAAACGCCTCAGCCGACGCCTTCAACCAGCCCTCCCTGTCGGAGAATTACACCATCAGCCCGCTCGAGGAAATCGACTTCAGCAACAACCTACTCACCGAACTGACCCTGAACGCCCTAATCGCGCTTCCCGACCTGAGGGTCTTTAACCTAGACGCCAATGAAATCTACAGCATCGCTCCGGGAACCTTCCGCGGAACAAAACTGGACACGCTCAAACTCGCCCGCAATCGCCTCTCCAACGTCGACTCGAACTGGTTTCCGAAACCCGTCCGCCTGTCGCGCCTAACCCTCAACGCGAACAAGCTGAACTTCATCCCAGAGGAATTCTTCCAGAGGGTGCAACCGAGCCTGTTCGCCTTCGACGGTAACCCCATGACGTGTGCCTGTCAAACGAAAACCACGCAAGTGCTGCACAACAAGAACCACCACATCGAAACGACGGAAAACTGCAGCTGGCCTAACGTGCCCGTCTGCATTTGGCTCGAGGATGGCGTCTGCGCGGAGGAGGTCGACGAGGGTGTCACTCGGCAGTACCACGAGGCGATTATTTCGGCACTTAGAAACATTAGCGATAGTGTAAGGGACCGATGTTATAATTTAACTTAACACTAAGAATTGATTAAAGTTCCTCTGAAGTTAGCTACAAGTTATAGCGCGATTTGAACCTATCTCCAAACTTTTGAAATATTCTGTCCGTCCGCCTGTTTATCTGCAAATTAGTTCATAAATTGAGCTTCTAGAGGGCGCATTGATTTCTGGCGTTAGCTAGACGTTGGTGTAATGTGAACATTTTTCCAAACTTTTAAAATTCTGTCCGTCTGCGTATTTGTCCCCAAGTTCATTCTCAAATTGAGTTTCAAAAGGTCGCATTAGCTTCTCACGTTAGCTACATGTTGGTGCAATGTGAACCTATTTCAAAGTTTTTAGAATACTCTGTCCGTCTGCCCGTGTCTCTACAAATTTGTGCTCAGATTGAGCATCTAGGGGGCGCATTGACTTCTGACGTTAGCTACACGTTGACGCAATGAGAACCTTTTTCAAAACTATTGAAATATTCTGCCCGTCTGCCTATTTTTCTACAAATTTGCTCTCAAATTGAACTTCTAGAGGGCACATAGATTTCTGACGTTAACTACACGTTGACGCAATGTGAACCTTTTTCAAAACTGCTAAAATATTCCGTCCGTCAGCCTGTTTCTCCACAAATTATTTCATAAATTGAGCTTCTAGACGGCGCATAAATTTCTGACCTTAGCTACACTTTGGTGCAATGTGAACCTTTTCAAAACTTTCTAAATATTCTGTCCGTCTGCCTGTTTCTCTACAAATTCGTTCCCAAATTGAGCTTCTAGAGGGCGCATAGATTTCTGACGTTAGCTACACGTTGACGCAATGTGAACCTTTTTCAAAACTGTTGAAATATTCTGTCCGTCTGCCTGTTTCTCTACAAATTCGTGCTCAAATTGAGCTTCTGGAGGGCGCATTGATTTCTGGCGTTAGATAGACGTTGGTGTAATGTGGGCATTTTTCAAAATTTTTAAAACATTCTGTCCGTCTGCGTGTTTGTCTCCAAATTCATTCTCAAATTGAGTTTCAAAAGGTCGCATTAGCTTCTCACGTTAGCTACATGTTGGTGCAGTGTGAGCCTTTTTCAAAGTTTTTAGAATACTCTGTCCGTCTGCCTGTTTCTCTACAAATTCGTGCTCAAATTGTGCTTCTAGAGGGCGCATAGATTTCTGACGTTAGCTACACGTTGACGCAATGTGAACCTGTTTCAAAACTGTTGAAATATTCTGTCCGTCTGCCTGTTTCTCTACAAATTCGTGACCAAATTGAGCATCTAGAGGGTGCATTAACTTCTGACTTTAGCTACACGTTGACGCAATGTGAACCTTTTTCAAAACTGCAGAAACATTCTGTCCGTCTGCCTGTTTGTCTATAAATTCATGCTCAAATTGAGCTTCTAGAGGGCGCTTAGATTTCTGACGTTAGCTACACGTTAACGCAATCTGAACCTTTTTCAAAACTGTTGAAATATTCTGTCCGTCTGCACGTTTCTCTACAAAATTGAGCATCTAGAGGGCGCATTGACTTCTGACGTTAGCTACACGTTGACGCAATGTGAACCTTTTTCAGTACTTTTGAAATATTCTGCCCGTCTGCCTATTTCTCTACAAATTCGTTCTCAAATAACAATAATAAAATAATAAATGAAATTCTAAGTGTGTGGTATCACTGGTTTTGTAACTTTTTTCCCTATCGAGTGACGTAAAAATAATTTTTGAAATCATTCGTTTGCGCAATAGAATTACGCGACTGTCGGTCTGTCTGCCGATTGCTTTTGTAATGAAAAATTGTAACGAAAGGTATTCAATAAAGTTGGGGTGGTAGTGGAAATCGTTGTATGTGCCAATTGAAATGGTAATTTGCCGGTAGTGAAGTGTCATCGACTCTTCTTTCCACTTTGCTCTAATGGCTTTCTTGGAATATTGTGATCGATGTATAACGGACGTTACGGCATGCTAATAATTAGAATGACTAAAATGCTGGCGACGTTCCCATTCAGCTCCAATTTGGATAACATACATGTTCCATTTACGGAAACGAGCTGAATGGGGCTAATGAAACAAAGCCTTAATGGAAATGCGATTAAATCATAAATCGCTTCAATTCATTAACTGGGGATATAATTACAGCCGCCAATCGCAGAGTTACCGTTTTTCCGTTTCGGTCCGATAGCAATTTACATTCACGAGCAAATAGCGAAAAAGTTGAAATGCAAATAAAGGTCCGCAAATACATTACATTAACCAGAGCCACCGATATTCCATCCCGCCAGACTAATTTCGTCCATCGCACTTAATTTCAACGCGTTCCATATTTCTGACAGCAGGTTTCGCAAAAAAAACATAAAATTTCGCAATAACGATTTTGATCGTCGGAATCAACGACCGGGATGTAATTAAGGAAATTACGGCACCAAGTAGACCGACGTTCCATTTTGATTTTATTGAGCTGTCTTTTTAATTGGCGTTCATTTCGAAAATCGATGGGCATATTACAACTGCGATTTTCAACCTTACTGAAGCTCACATTGTCCATGAACGCAACACGTAGCGAAACTTCAACCTTTTCGGATCATTTTTCTAAAAAAAATTGACGTTGGCGTGAAAATGCAGGATAAGGAAATTCAATCTTCCAGCCGCCTACAACTTACATAATGCCTGGGTATTCCCACCGGTGATACGTTCACCCTCAAAAAGCTCAACCCCAAAGTTTCATTCAAGAAATGATGGAGTTTTCGGTAAGGGCTTTAAACATTTTGGTGAAACTGTATAACCGGGGGGTCTGGGGGGTATGGAATACCCCCCAGGATAAGGAAAGTCAATCTTCCCGGCGCCTACAACTGACATAATGCCAGGGTATTCCCACCGGTGATACGTTCACCCTCAAAAAGCTCAACCCCAAAGTTTCTTTCAAGACATTATGGAGTTTTCAGTAATGGTTTTAAACACTTTGGTGAAAATGTATAACCGGGGGGTCTGGGGGGTATGGAATACCCCCCAGGATAAGGAAAGTCAATCTTCCAGTCGCCTACAACTGACATAATGCCTGGGTATTCCCACCGGTGATACGTTCACCCTCAAAAAGCTCAACCCCAAAGTTTCTTTCAAGACATTATGGAGTTTTCAGTAATGGTTTTAAACACTTTGGTGAAAATGTATAACCGGGGGGTCTGGGGGGTATGGAATACCCCCCAGGATAAGGAAAGTCAATCTTCCAGTCGCCTACAACTGACATAATGCCTGGGTATTCCCACCGGTGATACGTTCACCCTCAAAAAGCTCAACCCCAAAGTTTCTTTCAAGACATTATGGAGTTTTCAGTAATGGTTTTAAACACTTTGGTGAAAATGTATAACCGGGGGGCCTGGGGGGTATAGAATACCCCCCAGGATAAGGAAAGTCAATCTTCCAGTCGCCTACAACTGACATAATGCCTGGGTATTCCCACCGGTGATACGTTCACCCTCAAAAAGCTCAACCCCAAAGTTTCTTTCAAGACATTATGGAGTTTTCAGTAATGGTTTTAAACACTTTGGTGAAAATGTATAACCGGGGGGCCTGGGGGGTATGGAATACCCCCCAGGATAAGGAAAGTCAATCTTCCAGTCGCCTACAACTGACATAATGCCTGGGTATTCCCACCGGTGATACGTTCACCCTCAAAAAGCTCAACCCCAAAGTTTCTTTCAAGACATTATGGAGTTTTCAGTAATGGTTTTAAACACTTTGGTGAAAATGTATAACCGGGAGGCCTGGGGGGTATGGAATACCCCCCAGGATAAGGAAAGTCAATCTTCCAGTCGCCTACAAGTGACATAATGCCTGGGTATTCCCACCGGTGATACGTTCACCCTCAAAAAGCTCAACCCCAAAGTTTCTTTCAAGAAATTATGGAGTTTCCAGTAATGGTTTTAAACATTTTGGTGAAAATGTATAACCGGGGGGTCTGGGGGGTGTGGAATACCCCCCAGGATAAGGAAAGTCAATCTTCCAGACGCCTACAACTGACATAATGCCTGGGTATTCCCACCGGTGATACGTTCACCCTCAAAAAGCTCAACCCCAAAGTTTCTTTCAAGAACTTATGGAGTATTCAGTAATGGTTTTAAACATTTTGGTGAAAATGTATAACCGTGGGGTCTGGGGGGTATGGAATACCCCCCAGGATAAGGAAATTCAATCTTCCAGTAGCCTACAACTGACATAGTGCCTGGGTATTCTCACCGGTGATACGTTCACCCTCAAAAAGCTCAACCCCAAAGTTTCTTTCGAGATATTATGGAGTTTTCAGTAATGGTTTTAAATACTTTGGTGAAGATGTATAACCGGGGGGGTCTATGGGGTATGGAATACCCCCCAGGATAAGGAAAGTCAATCTTCCAGTCTCCTACAACTGACATAAGGCGTGGGTATTCCCACCGGTGATACGTTCACCCTCAAAAAGCTCAACCCCAAAAGTATTAACCAGATGGGCGAGTTATCTGGCAATTTTTTCTTGAACTCGCTTGCGTTATTCAACTCATAACATACCTCAAATTGTTCAGATGCTAATCACTGTATAACCGTAATTGATTTTTGGGGAAAATGTATAACCGGGAGGCCTCGGATAAGGAAAGTCAATCTTCCAGTCGCCTACAACTGACATAATGCCTGGGTATTCCCACCGGTGATACGTTCACCCTCAAAAAGCTCAACCCCAAAGTTTCTTTCAAGAAATTATGGAGTTTCCAGTAATGGTTTTAAACATTTTGGTGAAAATGTATAACCGGGGGGTCTGGGGGGTGTGGAATACCCCCCAGGATAAGGAAAGTCAATCTTCCAGTCGCCTACAAGTGACATAATGCCTGGGTATTCCCACCGGTGATACGTTCACCCTCAAAAAGCTCAACCCCAAAGTTTCGTTCAAGAAATTATGGAGTATTCGGTAAGGGTTTTAAACATTTTGGTGAAAATGTATAACCGGGGGGTCTGTTGGGTGTGGAATACCCCCCAGGATAAGGAAAGTCAATCTTCCAGACGCCTACAACTGACATAATGCCT